AAATATACGTTTGCTTCATCGACAATCCCACCAAAGAATGTGATATGCGAAAATGCCTGGCGTCGAAATTCACATCTGCCCTGTCAGCCAAGGGCCCTCGTGGCAATGTGGCGTAGTCGTTAACGTATCGAGACGCCGCGCTGCATTGTCATGCCACGTGCTCCGCTGAGATTGTTGATAAGACCTAACGGAAAGCGAAATTGCAATCCAATAAAGCCTGGATGAGAGCAACTTTTGCGAAAGCAAGGCTCTGTGAAATTCACTGAAAACCTCAGTTCTACTCATATCGTTGTGGGAAAATTCAACGACCAGTCCTTCATTACCTTAGACGAAATAGGGTGAATACATCTCATACTACTGATTTACTGGTAGTCTCGACAGAATACTTAAATGCGAATATAACAAAAATAAATTCCTTAAAAGGTAGCTAGATTTAGGATGATTTTAATATTTAGTTCTCAGGCTAAGCTTAATATATTTTTCGCATTTATGTATCATTTCGAGACTACCAGTAAATGAGTAGTATGAGATGTATAAACTGCAGTGCACTGGTGCCTGGATGAGAACAACTGTTGGGAAAGCAAGGCTCTGTAAAATTCACTGAAAACGTCAGCTCTGCTCATATGGTTGTGGGAAAATTCAACGAACCTTACTCGAAATGGGCTGAATACAACTCATATATCTGATTTACCGCTAGTCACGAAAGCCTACTCAAAAGGAAATATTGTTTTAGACTTTAATTCTCCTGCACTTACAACATCAGAATCATCCTTGTCATCCTGTACTTTTTCGAATTGAATGTTATGCCTAGATGGTCATCGAGACAACCAACATGGTCATGATCCTATGAATTAAATTCCAATAATGTACTACTCACAAGCATACCTAAATAAATAAATAAATAAATAAATAAATAAATGTATATATATACGCAGAGAGAAAAAGAGAGAGTTCAAGGAAATAGGAGGAGAGGGTCAAATTGTCCGTAAATATTAATTTTAAGTGAAATACATTTTTCTGAAACTTGGTTACCGGGGCCCGGTGGGCCGGCTCCAGGTTGGTGGCCATATTGTCGGATGTTCGATGATTTGCCAAATTTCTGGTTTGGCTGCTGAAGTTGAGCTAACTTTCTTGTAGCCCCCCAGTCTGGTCACTTGTCTGGCGTTCCACCTGACTCTGCTCAAGTCGCTGGCCGATCCGGTCGTCTTCATCTACGGCCTGCGCAGCATGCGCTTCCAACTGTCGGCCTGGTTCGTGTGCCGACGGGGCCGAAATCAGACGACGACGAGTTCGACCGAGAATGGCAAGCCTCAAATCGGCAGTCAGTTCGGAGGTGCTCGGAGCCGAAGCTCGCGACAAAATCGCTCCAGCGGCCGCCGAGTCATTCAACTCGACTCAGCCCCCAA